GGGGGGGGGGGGGGGGGGGGGTACAACATCAACCATTGCCGACCACGCACCTGGAGCGCCCTGCGCAAGAGGGGCTCCGCGCCGTGAACGTCACCCCTCCCCTTCAAGGCCAGCGCCAGGTTGTTGAGGGCCATGGCCACGCCCTGAGCGCACGTGATCTCGTGAAGGTGGCCTTCCCCGAAGGTGTCCTTGGCAACCTTCCACCTTTGTTCCGCGTCCGCCACGTTCTTTTGAGATTGAATCGTAAGTAATGTTGCAACGGGACAACGGGACAAAAAAAAAAAAAGAGTAGAGGTTAAGAGGTGAGGTAAGGTTCCGTCATGAAAGCCAGTCCGACGCAAAAACAGTAAGCTCTGAAGCACCTTTTTCATGTTAGTATGCAAAGCTTCAATAATACTGATGCTTATTCGTCTTAAATGTATGCGATACGTCTTCATATACAGGTACTTCCACTATAAGAACAATTAAACCATACTTTTGATCATCTGTCTTTGCACTATATATTCTAAGCAAAAGGCCGAAATATTGACCCAATGTTGACTAAGAGTAAGCGTAGCACGTCTCCTCTTGTTTTGCTACCATATTGGTTTGTCTCTGCATCACATTTTAAGCAAAAAGCCGGAAATTTGCACCATGTTGACCAAGTAAGCGTGGCGTGTCTCTCGTTTGTACTGGTACCTGGCGAAGCAGGGGCTCCGCCTCGTTGAACTGCTCGGTGGCCTGCAGCAGCTCCGGAAGGATACGGCGGAGCCCCATCCAGTCGTTCTTCACCAGTTGGGTCATCTCCTCCTGCATCGTGCGTGTGATAAGCCGGGCGAACGGTTATATTAGCAGATGTCTCCGTCGACTTCAAGAGTAGAAGGAGAAACAGAAGGAACGGACCAACTATACCGTGTTATGGAAAAAAAAAATGCATTTCGGTGTGCGCATGCAAGCAGTTTTTGCATGCCACCAGAAAAAAAAAAAATGCAAACTGCTGCCACGACTTGATGTATGTAGTGTGTACGCATGTGTGTGTTCGCCCATCTATTCTGGCGCCGGTTTACAGGCCTTTCGGCGGATGTATACCTGACGGATCAGCCGAGGTCACACGAGAGGAATAAGGTCAAACAAGAGGTATTGTTTCTCTTCATTACCTTGTTTCGCTTTATTGACCCCCCCCATCCCCATTTGTACAAGAAGGAGAGGGAAGTGTACGTGACTGAGCTGGGAAAAATAGATGGAACGTACAGGGAGATGTTTGAGGCATGGAATAGAGAGGAAAGGACGGTAGCTGTAGTGGGGCA